AAATATAAAATGGTATAGTACCATAGAGAACAGTTTAGTATTCCCTCAAAAAGTTGATCTATAACCCAGCAATTCCACACCTACATATACAACTCAAAATAATTGAGAACAGGTACGCAAATATACGCATGTGCATGTTCACAGCTGCGTTATTTACAGGAGGCAAGAGGAGAAACAAGCCAAATTTCCATCAACAGATGACTAGGAAAACAAAATGTGGCATATATGTACACCATAAAAAGAATGAAACTGTCAATAGCAGAATATAGATGAGCCTTAAAAACACTTCTAAGTGAAAGAAATCAGACGCAAAAGTTCCCAAAGTATCTAAATCTATTCATATGAAATATCCAGAATAGGTAAATCCATAGAGACAGAAAGTAAATTAGTGGTTGTTAGGGTCTAGGCAGAGAATAAAGTTATAAATGATAATGGATACAGAGTTTCATTAGGAAGTAATGAAGATGTTCAGAAATTGAATAGTGATAGTGATTACAACACCTATGGATATATTAAAAGCCACTGAATCGTGTACTTGGAAAACTGGAATTTATAATGCTTAAATTTTATCTCAATTTTCAAAAAAAAATCTAATATTTAGCATAAAAATTTAAAGCAGGTTGTCTCCAGGGCTAAGAGCGAGGTAAGAATTGACATAGCAGGAACATGAGAGAATACTCCAGAGTTTAATACATTGCTGGGATTTGGAGTTGCACAGATGTATCAAAATCAGCTGTTCACATCACTGTATGCAAATTTTGCAATAAAAAACAAAACCATATAAAATTGAGTTCACTTAATGACATATTGAAATATTTATAGGAACATGTAACAATAAGTGCAACTTGCTTTAAAATGCAACAAAAATAAGATAAACATATGAATAAGGTAAGTGATAAAGAAAAACTAGTAAAAGGTTAACAGTGGAATCTTGCTTTTGAAGATACAGGTATATACTATAAAGCTCTTTCAAAAATACTGTATGACTGAAATTTTTCAAAATAAAATACTGGGGTAAAGTTAATGAACAAGCACCTATCATTGGCAAGTCATAAGTAGTATTCAAAAACTTAAGAAACTAGATGGCAATATTATGTCAATTTCTTGAGAAGACGTGGTATTTAATTCAAGATATGGAAGACTTCAAGTGGGGGAGGGTAAGGGAGGGAGCAGAGGGAAGGGGAAAGAAATGACCCAAACACTGTATGTATATATGAATAAAAGAAAAAAAATTACAAAAAAAAAAAGAAAAGAAAGACTACAAGGAGTCTTCCAGGTCGCCTATGTCCCCTCCTCCAAAAAAAATAATCTTATCCTAAGTCCCTGAAAGTTGGTGTGTTCAAGAAAGCCAATGTAACTGAGGTACATTAAGCAAGGAAGGGAATAATGTAAAATGAGATTGGAGAGAAGGGGGGGGGGTCGCAAAACCATATGAGATTTGTAGGCAAGGTAAAGAAATGTGATTTTATCTAAGTACAGTGGAAAGTTATTACAAGGTTTAAAGCAGGAACAGAGTGGGATGAGATGAGGTGTGTCCTTTTTCTGTAAAGCTTTAAAATAATGCACTGTCTGTATGGGAAGAATGGCTTTGAAGTGTTTAAAAAGGAGGTAGGGGGAGTACTGTCATAATCCTTAAAAGACAATGGTAGTTTGAAGGAGAATGGTGGTAATGAAGACAATAAGTAGTAAGCATGCATAGATGCTGAATGAGAACTGACAGTCCCTAAAGATAGACTTAAATAAAGAGAAGGAGGCCTCCAGTATAGGGCCTGGATTTTGGCCTGACTGAATTAATTGGGTGACATTTACTGAGATATGGAAAGCAGGGTTGTAGGATGTTGGATCTCAGGATAAAAAATAAAAGAGAAAAAAATTTTGAATTTAAATTGAACATCATTTGTTGTGGAAAAAACAGGCAAAGGAACAGGATCAGGACAATCTGGAAGTTGTTAAAAGATAGGTTTTTAATTTATAATTTATTTTCCTTTCAAGAATCAATTTTGACTTGATTATATTAAGGACCTTTGGTCCAGTAAAAAGATCAAACTTAAATCGAAATCAAACTCACTGATTACTGTTGTCTACCACAGGGGTTAAAAAATAAAACAAGAGATCAATAGCCCTTTCTCTAAATTCAGAGGTCAAAGGAGAAAAGCAGTACAAAAGAGGGAGATGAGATAGTCCAAAAAACAAATACATAGAAGTAACAAAGTCTTCACCTGGCCAATGATCAGAGGCTATCAGCCTCTTTAATTCCACTTATCAAATGTTTAAATATCTTACAGTATATTACACAAAGTTGTGACTCAAATTTTAGCTTTCAACCTCCAGTCTCATTAGGTTTACCAAAATTACAATGAAAAAATCCATGGTCTTTGGAGCCAAAGAAATCTCCATTTAAATCAGCAGTCAAAACCAGTAAATGAAAATACTTAAACCCAAGAATTAACATTAGAAACAACATTCCCAAGGTGCCTGGCACATGGGGGAAAATGCTCCATAAATACAAAGCTTCTATTATATACTCAATACAGCAAGTTCTCAACTTCGGCAGCATAGATTCCTGTTTCCAGAAGAGTACACATTAAAGAGAGGGAGGACTAAATCAAGTAGGATCAATTTAATTTTCGCCACGAAACTCATGAACAGGGCTGGGGGTGTAGCTCAGTAGTAACACGCTAGAGGCCTAAGGCTAAATCCCCAGCAAAGAAAGAAAAGGGGAGGAGGGGAAAAGGAAAGGAGGGAGGGAGGGAGAAGGGGGATAATAGGAGGAGGAGGGAATAAGAAAGGAAAAGGAAAGGGAGGGAAAAGAAGAAAAGATCTCTATGAACAGGAATTGACTCACTGGGCAATCTTATAAATGGACAGGTTCAAAAATCTGACTACAATTCAGTTGCTTAGAACTAGAAACTTATTTTCTCATGGAACCAATATTTACTTCAGTTCTTAGATGAACTCACAACGGCCCATTAAAGTCATAATATAGTTAAAATGTGCCATATCTCAATAAAAGTAGTAGAAAAAACTGATGGATTATCCAAAAACACAGAAAACCAAGAGACTTTAATAATGCATAATTTATTTTGGAAGGTAGCACTTGGAGGAAAAGGTTTAATGGCAGGTTTCTGTGGAGATTCAGAAGGGGCTGTCAGGGAAATTCCAAAAGCTTATAAAAGCTGATGACCCTGGCTCTTTATTATGTTTTATTTCACCTCGAATTTTGTGGTTTCCCCTTATTTTAGTATAAGCAAAACACTAGCTCGCCATAATTGCAATCATTTCACACATGGGAGGGAATAGTAAAGGAAGACGTAGAAGAAAGACAAGAAAGCAGAAGTAGTCATAAAGGATGTGCCAAGTATGAAGAAAAGAGGCTTAGACTGAAGGTAGATGACCCTAGTAGCAAAAAAAAAAAAAAGAAAAGGTGACAAAGTGGTGAGAAGTGGTCAGAGAGAGACCCATCAGGATTAACTGGTTAGTTTAAAAGTCACACATTAATGAAAACAGTGGAAAGAAAAATATAAAAGCAAGCAAAGTGATTTGCAGCACCCCCTAGACATTTATACAAAGGAGTTGAAGATTCATAATTCAAAATGCAGCACAAAATAATTTGATTGTCTTCTAATGCTTATCTTCCTAAATTCCCCCAAATAGTTTGTATGTAGATACTATAATAAGTGTATTATTATGTCCATTAGGTAGATGATAATGCATAAACTAGAAGTATGAAAAGGACTTTTTTAAATTTAAAAGTATATAATAGAATAAAACTAAACTAGTTTAGGAGTCTCCTCAAAAATGGCAATGAAGAATGCCAATGCTTTCAAACCACAGAGAGCAACTTTTTGCAATCTTGTAAATATTGCTGTGAAGTACTGAAATTATTTTTGAAAATGTTGACAATTCTGAAGAATTAATGAAGATATGTTGTATACAGATAAAACAAGATTGTCTATGGTCTTGTCTTAAATCCTGGGCATTTTTGTAAAATAAATAAAGCATATTTAATAAGCAAAATTGAAATGATTTAGACAGACCCAACTAGAAACAGGGATGCAACAACCCAAACAACTTTTCGGATCGCTAAAGAACTTGTTTGCTAGCTTGTGTATTTGCAAAGAATATACTTATTAATGTATGCAATCACTTTTAGACCAAATTTTCTACATATCACAGCTATATAAACTTTGGCAAATTAAATACTCTCCAACTGTAGACAAGAATTCTAAATAATCAACCTTAATGAAAAAAACAGAACTACAGAGATGTTACTGTGGGATGCTGAAAGTTTGGACCTACAAGTTGTGGAAATGCTTTAAGATGCTGTTATCAAGCATTGTCTAATTTCTCTCACCTATCTACAAACTTCTGTCAAATGTACACAAATACTGATTTGATTCATAAAATTATAAAGTCTTTAACAGTTTTGTTAATCCTTACACATTTTCTCAATTAGAAGATACTGAAAATAAAAGTTTTCATGAACACAAAGAATATTTTTGAAATTAAAAAAGTACAATAATTAAAATGTCCCTCTGTTTACATTTACTCCAATTTAGAATATTCAGCTCTAATTTCCCACATGCTAGCAAGGTTATTGAGCTGATATGCAACATTTTAGAAGAAGACAAAAACATCAATCAAGGTGTCTTCATTTTACTAGTATATGTCCTTAACTTTAACAAACCACATTCCACTGCTTATGATACAAATGTACATTACATCCAATATTAAGGATTCTTAAGACAATTATTTCTGTTAATTAGCTAGTGGTCTCATCTTATAAAAGGGCTATGACTAAGGTCAAATTACTCTTTAAAGTCCACTTTAATAACAGAGTATGGCAATTCAACTGATAAATTCCTCCAAAGCAACAAGTAATCAGAAACCTAAAACTATTAAAATATTATTTGCTCTACGGGAATTAGTCATTACATGTTTACTCAACCGTATCTGCTGAAAGACATAGAAGCCCTACCAAAGTTAATTTAAGAACTTACCAATTTCCCTTGCAATTCTGACAGCTTCATCTGTATCCTGTAAAAGCAGGAAATGAGACTCAACATTAATCCCATGAGGCATTGCACAATGTCTTTAGGGCAGTCATATATTGCACTACTGTCTCCTCTGATTCATTTAATGTTCAATTTTACAACCTTCTAGCCCTTTTCATTCAGAGAAATGTAAAATTAATACCATAAGTGGAATGTAAATTCTACCTCATCATTATTATATTAAGAAACTCAAAGCCGTTTGAAATGAACTGGCAGGAAGCACTACCAGAATTGCCAATGATTTGGTGCAGTTGCCGGAATTTAATGGCAGAATTTAGATGTTTACAATCAATACTGAATCATAAATCAGATCATTAAAGCCTGTCTGTAGCCAGCTTGTTTCTGTCTCTCTGATATTTATGTGTCATGTTTTCCTTGATTCTGTCAGCAGGGGGAGTAGATTCTCTATTGTTTGGGAGGAGCTCTTTTCAGTTTTCCAGAAATAAAAAAGTAAACTTCCATTATCTATAAGAATTACCAATAGTTTAAAATTTTTCTTTGGTAATCTCCTTTACATATTCTTTTTTATTTCATCTTTTTTTTCAGGTACATATTTCATCTTTATAGTTGTAGCTTGTTGCATAAATTAAAACCTTGAATTCGATCACTAAAGTAGTAGAGGGGGACATAAATTCCAAAAACCCAAGGAAAGGAAATGCCTTACTAAGCAGTACGAGGTAAGAGTTTATCCATGAAAGAATTAGTTATTGCCAAATACCAACCAGTGCCACTTGTAACTCTAAGTAGCTGAAAAAGGCAAAAACTTCCCTTTCGAATTTAAGACATTCATTGATCATTAACACACTTACAGAATAGTTCTACATTTCCCATATAACAATAAAGAGATGCTGAACTCCAAGCCTCCTTTTCAGTTCAATTACTTTTGTAATTCAGTGACACAAACTAAACTATCAATAGTGCTCTGAAACCACTAGCTGGTAAGTTGACCGGAAGTTTTAGAAAACAACTTCAAAACATTGAAGTGAAGCCTGCTATTTTTTAAGCTTTTAAACTAACACATTTGAAATGTGGAGCAATCATGTCAGAATCCTTCCCCAAAAGGGGTAGGGATGTTTATAACTGGTTCACTTATGTCTAATAAAAAAAAAAAAAAATCTCTTCCTTGAAAGTCCTCAGTACCTAATAACATCCCCTGGAATAAGGAGGTTGGCAGGGGAAGTTGTCAGAAAAATTTAATTTCCTTTCATTAGCCAGTCTGCTCCACAAATAAGTGCTTGTTAAGTTCAAAGCGGTCCTGAAAGCAACATCAGTTTTAAGTCGTTTTTTTACTCCAAGCAGTCACATCTGCTAATGAGATTTTCCAAATAACAATTGTTTTCAAGTCAGAGATAAATCTATATCTCCCACCCTAACCCCAAAAAATCAAGGTTTACTGCTTTATTACACCTTGTGTTTTCACTGACCCTACATTCTCCAAATTTTAGCTTAAAATGATAAAAATCCATGAAAAGAGTCATTTAAGAATGTCAGTGGTTTCCACACATTGGGTTGGAAGGTTCTTTGTTGCAGCCAGTGACAGTTATTGGGGAATACTTGCCTTAACAGCCTCTCTATCAGGAAGCGTTAAACCTGCCAAATGAGAACAATTAGTGCCTCTCCAACAAACTACTGGAAGCCTAAGGGCTGATGAAGACAGGACTAGAGTAAGTCTAGAAGGAAACCATCAACATTTCTTTTAAATGTTTGCCAAAGATAATCTCAAATTAAACTGCTAACTGAAAAGTCTGGTACCCGGACAGAATAGGCAAGTTGTAAAGGCATAATTCACAGAATTTGTTAGTCATGTTTCTCACTTATTTATAGGTATACTTTGTAGGTGTGTCACATATATATAAACAGAATTATATTTATACAGAGCAAAACTTCTAAAAATCTTTATCTGTCTCAAATCCAGCACTTCTGTGAGCCACCACAAAATCTTTTCAAAAATCAAATTCTACTTAATGAACTTTCTGGCAAAATCAAACTGTCTTAAAAATTACCCTTTTACTTGTCACTCATTCATCTCCCAAAAACTTTATGGCAAATGCTATATACCAGACATTTGGAAACTACTTACTAAGTACTCAAGTTCCACCCAGGACCATGACCCTCCTGTCTCACCCTCTTTCCACTGAAGCTGGATGCCGAGTGCACACCACCACACCCAGCTTTTTTTTCTGTTGAGATGGGGTCTTGAGAACTTTTTTGCCTGGGCTAGCCTACAACTGCGATCCTCCCAACCTCAGCCCACCATAGTGTAGGTTGATAGGTGCATGCCACTGTACCCAGCTATTGATTGAAATGGGGTCTTGCAAACTTTTTGCCCTGGCTGGCCTCAAACACCAATCCTTCCATTCTTAGCCTCCCAAGTAGCTAGGATTACAGGTATGAGCCACTGGTACCCGGCTACACTTTTGAATGTACATGTAACTTCATGTAGACAGCTACAAAGGATCCAGTGTAAGCTACTATTCAAAAGCAAAATTAAGAGGTGAAGGAAAGGAGAACTTTTACTTAATATTATATACCCTTAGGAACGTATTGAACTGTTACCATATTTATAATACATACATATAATACTTACCATAAGTATTATAATTTCATACTTCACACTACTTCAATACTTTAAAAACTAAATCCACCCACTTGAAGGTGTTTTCCAAATTATCTAATGATTGTTAGGGCATTAAATGTTATCAAGATAAACTAGCAGCCAGACACCAGTGGCTCAAACCTGTAATCCTGGCTACTTAGAAGGCAGAGATCAGGAGGACCGTGGTTTGAGGCCAACTTGGGCAAAAAAAATTCATGAGACCCTATCTCAATAAATACTCGGATAGAGGTATACACCTGTCATACCAGCTATGGTGGGAGGCTGAGATTAGGATCACAACTCCAGGTCAGCCCAAGCAAAAAAGTTTGCAAGACACCACCTCAACAGAAAACAGCTGGTCAAGGTGGTACACATCTGTCATACCAACTACAGTGGAAAGCATAAATAGTAGAATCACAGGCCCAGTTGGTCTGGGCAAACAGAGGACCCTACCCCAAAATAATCCAAGCAAAAGGGCTGGAGGCATGGCTCAAGCAGTAGAGCACCTATATAGCAAGTGAGAAGGCTGAGTTCAAATCCAACTACTGCTTAAAAAAAAAAAAAGCAAATCTACTAACTGGGCATGGTGGCATATACCAATAATCCTAGCACTCAGGAGGCCAAGGATAGTGAATTCACAGCCAGCCAGGGGATACATAGTGAGAACCTGTCTCTAAAAAAACAAAATGAAACAAAGTTTCGCCCAAGTCCATTTAAACTTTTCATGGCTCAGTTCCACTAAGCTCACAGCGAAACTCTCATCTTCACCAAATTAGTTCTTATTACAACTGGCCATGTACAGGGCCCTGGAAATGCAGGCAGGAACAAGACAAACGGTATCTCAGCAATCATGTAAATCACAGGCTAGAAGAAATGGAAGACATTAAATATAATGACTGGGTAGTTAACATGACATTTGTGACACGTTATGCAGAAGTCATGAAGGAATCATGTGACAACAGGAGCTCTCAAATTAAAGAACAGATTCCCAGAAACCTCAGGTGTGGCAACTTTGGAAAGAGACCTAACAAATGAAATCATGGTGAAAATAGAGTGGCTGGGGCCTTAGGAGGGCACGACAGAGTGAGTGATACAGGGCCTCAATGAGGCACATTAAAGAGCCTGAGCTGCAACCTAATCGTAAGGAAATCAAAGGCCTCTCGCTGCCTGCATCTCTTTTCTTTATTTGTTTTGCTTTCTTTTGTTTAGACAGGGTCTCACTAGGTAGCCCAGGCTAGACTCAAATCTGTGATCCTCCTGCTTCAGTCTGCCAATGGCTGGGATTACAGGCCTGCAGCACCTCACTCAGTTTCTGGCTGCAGCTTGATAAATTTAAGCATGGCATTTACTTATTTATTATCCGTATTGTGTACCTTCTACATCTCCCATCCCTTTGAATCTAAGACCCTAAGGGCAGACATCGCTACTCACTTGGTTCAGCGAAGTCTATCAAATACCTGGAGTATTACACAGCACATAGTAGTTATTCAATAAACAGCTTTGAATAACAAATGAAGGAAAGAACAAATGATTTGTGTACTCATCTTATTTTTGGTGAACAGGGAAAAAGGCAGGAAAAACTATAACAAAAACAAGCAAATTCACCCATTCCCACAAGAAGTTCAACACCCACTATATTCTTATAAAGATGCTAGCATTAAATACTGACTCTATGATTCAGACTGTATACACTTCTTTCTCACTTGCAAACACTCTTCTCCTCCAGAAGAAAGAAATGCTTTTATTTTTTCTATTTCTCTTTTATAAGTTTTCTACGGGTAGTTTATTCTACCTCCTTTTTTTATTATTCTTAATTTTTCTATCCTTTTCCAAAACCTGACCATAGCTTTTCTCCATGTTTAAACTATACTACCACACACTGCTATTTCATTTACCTTTACCATACACATTTCACCACCCTTCTCCCATCTTCCTTCTTCCTTTCCTTAGCCCCCTTACTTTTACTACTTAATTTTTAAATCCTATACCTAATCCCTAGCTGACCATGTGAGAACCCTAGTTCCTTTTATATATAACATTATTGGAGCTATAGATGATGCCTCCGATTGTTTTTTACTTTGTGTAAATCTCTGGTTGGTTTTAACTGCTGAATTTATTATTGCTGAGTTACACCCCCAGGCCAGTGGCAAGCAACAGCACATCAACCCTCCACTACCTACTCTCCTGCCAGAACATAGAGAAATTCAACTGAAAGAATTCATCTCACTTCCAATGAGCAAATCAGTGCAGAAACACAAGTAACATAATACTTCAAAAAGTCAACAATCCCACAATAAAGGATCTGAATGACAGTGATGTGGATGCACTCTCAAATACTGAACTCAAAAGAGTAAGAATGATCAACAAAATTAGAGAGGTGTACACTC